TTATTTCTTCATAAATAATTATTATTAATTTAGTCTAGACTATTTTGCAATAAATATATACTAACCAGTAATTTGTTTAAGTGTGTTACTGTAATTTTATTAAAACATAGTAAAATAAAGTTTCATAAAATATATTTGTCAAATAAAAGAAAATAGCATGAGATAAAAAGTAGTTAATTAAGTGATAGTAAAATTATTTTCTATTGTCCTATGCTTACCAGAGTCTAACCTCATAAATAATCCTAAGAAAGAATGCTCAACACTTAATTACTTATTCTTTAGACTTTCGTTGTTGAGAATTGAGAATTTTATTGTTTATTAAAACCACCATTTCTTTATTCTCTTATTTTATGATAAAAGAATATATTCTTACCATATATTAATTTGGTTATTTTCTTTTTGTCTCAATAACAACATGAAATTTATTTTTCTTTGAGAACTCCAACAATTCTTCATCATGTATACTTCATTTTAACAATTAAATAACACCACTATCTTAATAAATACTCATTCTTTATTATAATAAACGATATTCCATTATTTTTAATATTTAGCATTGTTATTCTTTTTAATATTATATAACATATTTTCTCTAATCAATAACAACGTCATAACCAAACGATAATTAATGATTCAATGACTTGATTAATTATAATATTTGTGTGATGTTTTTGATGTTCCACCTTTGAGTCTAAAATAAAAAATACATTTAACAATAACACTTACTAAATTTTTTTTGGCTTTTAATAAATTTAAAACGTATGAAATTTTTTGTTAAAAAAGGATGAAGGAGATAACAAAGAAACGGAGGGATATTTATAATAATTTCCTCATATGAAATTCTACATGATTCTTTTACTTTCTTTTTTCCTATAAAAAGATAATCTTGACTTTTTCAAGCACACAGAAGACCAAATTACAAATTTATCGACATCATCTTTTGATGTTTCAAATTAATTTTCAAGAAAAGAAGTTCTAAGTCATTCTATTTTTACTTCTCTCGACTTAACCCTCTGGTATTTTTAAACAAACGAGTTATATCTATAAAAATTATATGATGATTCTTCTTATTGTTTCATTACTTAGTGCTGTTGCCTATTCTTCTAGCTCTGATGCTTCATGTCCTTCAGCCTATTGTTCTTCATGTAATAGTCAAGGATGTACTGAATGTATTGATAATTATGTTTTAATTGAAGGACAATGCGTATATGCTAGAACTGCCATTAGTCATTGTTATAAAGCCAAAAACAATAAATGCGAAAAATGCTTTGATGGATATTATCTCAAAAATCAACAATGTATTGCTAAAGATAAAAATTGTGATGAATATGAAAATGGAATGTGTGAAGAATGTGAAGATGGATATACTCTTGTTAATGGTGTATGTACTGCTTGTTCAATTAAGGGATGTGAAAAGTGTACACGTGGAGTTGACACATGTGATGAGTGCGAAGATGGTTATAAATGGAATGGAAATGCTTGTATTCAACCAGTTCCAAATTGTGATGATTTTGATGATGGAGAATGTACTGAATGTATTGATGGATATATGCTTAATGGACAAACTTGTGAAAAAATTCCTATAAATAATTGTAGAAAGTATAAAAACGGAGTTTGTGTCAAATGCTTTGGACCTTATAAGCCAGTTAATGGAACTTGTACTGAGGCTGTTGCTCAAGTAATTGAACACTGTATAGAGTATGATGACGATGAATTTGAATGTGAAGAATGTGAAATTGGATATACAGTTGATAAGTCTGAAACTAAATGTATTCAATGTGACCCATCTTGTAAGACTTGTGAAGATTATGCAAATAAATGTGAGACATGTAATGAAGGTTATTATATACAAGATAATTCATGTGTTAGATGTAGTATTCAGTCTGATGTTTGTGGAGATTATAAAAATGAAGATCAATGCTATTCATGTAATAATAAATGTAATTGGTATAATGGTGCTTGTGTTGAATCTCATTGTACTAAAATGGATGAAGATGAGGATGAGTGTGAACAATGTGAAGATGGTTATTATTTAGAAAAAGATAGAAAGATATGCATTAAAGGTGATGGATGTTTAGAAAAGAAGGGAGATAAATGTGTTAAATGTTCACAAGATTTCTTTATAACTTCAGACTTCAAATGTTTAAGATGTGATGCTGCTTGTAAAACATGTTCAGATAGTGCATCAAGTTGTCACTCATGTTTTGATAAAAGTTCTGGTATAAGTAAAGTGACATGCACTAAATGTTTTGACCCTCATTGTTTAGAGTGTGATGAAAATCCAGTGATTTGTACAAAATGTACTGGTAATTATACTGTTAATGAAATTGGACAATGCCAAATGGGTTGTTTCAAAGAAGATGTAGAAAATAAATGCACAATGTGTTCCGATAGACAAAATGAAATGAATATTTATTATCCTCCAACTGATGAAGGAATTTGTATGAGTTATTCAAAAATGCCAAATACTCCATCATCAACTGAAGATTCTTCCATTTCCGTTTTCTTTACTTTTATTGGAATTACAGTCTTCTTATTATTCTAAGAAATAATCAACGAAAATTAATTGATTAATTTCTTTTTTTAAATTATTAATTCTAAATATTTTTTTTATACTTCTTTATGATATTTTACACCAAAAACTTTTATTGAATTTAAAATAAAAATATTTATTTTATTTTTCTTTCTTCACACATTCTCATTGAATAACTCTTTAAATGAA